CTGAGGAAATTATACGACGTGGAATTTAACAGTCGATTAATGAACAGATTTACGGTCCCTTTTAAAGTAATTAATTATGTCGCGCCGAGGGAAGGAGAAGCGGTTGCTGCCTTGAATTCGTTGGTGGAAAACTCAATTTAAAGCATCAATTTAAAGGACGGCTTTCTTAGAAGAAACTGCTCCACTTTTGCTGACTATAAGCGGATTTGCATTAAGGCACTTTTATGCGTTTGAGCTCTTGATTTCACTTCAAGAAACGTATGCCAAGTGGTGATATGATGATTTACTTCGATTCAATCAATATTCATTTCAATAAGTCTTTTTATTACTGAAATTGAACTGCATTTCTATAAGACTGGGTTCTATAGTAATCATTCCCGTAATTGCATTCGATATTGAACTTCCACGTTCAATAAATCGGCGGATCACACTACAATATTCTATATCGCAAAGAATTTTACAAAATGTGTGTAGAATCGTAGTAAAAACCAATGATGGCAGGTAAAACGTGTATGATGAATAATTACACTTACCGTAGGGATATTGCATTAAAGTATTTAGAAAAGCAATGATGAGGAATATTCATAAAATAATATATCCTCACAAAATAATCTCATTTCACACAAATTTCATTGCGCAATTCTTTCTGTAAAAACGAAACTCTACTTCTAAACTTTCACAAAAATTACTTATTCCTCAAATTTTCTTATTTCCTAATTTAATATTATATTAATAAAATGTGTTGCAAAGTTGTAGGCTTTGGTTGTTTTATTATAATTGCTGATTCTTCAAATCATCTGCTGAATCTTATCTCGAGGCAACGTGACTCGAGAGTGGCACACTTCTATACATTTCAAAGCGTGGAAATGTAGATTAACTGCACAATTAAATTTAATCTCGTTGATTTGGTATATCCCTAAGAAAAACGACATTATGAAAATTTCTGTTTATTTAATTCAATACGTTCTACACATTCTTCTTCTTTTTTTTCTTCAAGCAGCACAGCCCATTTCCGTACCTCAGAACACTGGACTCAAATTCAAGTACGCTCGGCATACCCCTGAATCATCCGAAAATTTTCAGGCAATGTCTTATGTGGATATTGGTCAAAACATGATATAGTTTTGAATTTCAGTTAAGAGACAAATATTGGATTCTGCGTTTCCACCTACTTTCAATATCAGTGCGTGTACCGACTGATTTATCAATTTTAATTCGATACTGAAATTGAGATTTTGTTACATGCGTCACAACGTTTCCAACCTATTCGGCATTGACCGTCTAGTAACTCTCCTTGAACATTGCCAGTCATAAGCCTTTTTCGTATGTAACTGTCTTATCACTATCCGTCAGAGGCTGAGAAACGTTTGTATTCGTAGTTCCCTGCGTTAATTCCTTTACTTGACGGAGATCGGTAAACTTCAGCTACCGGAGCAGGTATACAACATAGCTGGCACTACTTTCGATATTGCTGATGACATTGAACACCAACAAAAGTGGGGCCGCTCGCCAGTAAATATTCGTTATATTTATTTTATTATTTAAGATCATATCAACATCTAGGACATTACCAATCACTCGAAGCAATTACAAAGGCAAAAGCAAATACAGCCATGCCCGAAGTAGGACTCGAACAAGCGATCCTTCTGTTCGAGATCGCTACGTCACTACTGTCTTGACAATCTCGGCTACCGGATCGGCTCTTTTTAATTGATTGTAGTGTTATTTTGTTGTTCTATGGCAGTGTTCTTGCAACTTTTTGAGAACGACTTTATGTAGTTTTGTTCAGCAGCACATTTGTAGCTACAGGCCACTAGCAGTACCTACTCTTCTAAATGTGATTTTTAATCCCATGCCTCCCAAGGCCCTACAACTCCCATATAACGCGGTGGGGACCATTACAGTGGCGCGCTCTAAACCATCACCTTCACACACGAACTAAAATACGAACTGCTACCAACGTTATTTAAAACGTGCGTGGGTTATCGGGACGCAAACACACGCGCGTGATAAAAAGATCGCGCCGCTGTTCGCGCTACCTTTTCTTTCATGGGTGTATTATTAAGAATAAGAATTTTAGGAGATAAACACGTATTTAACTTCTTAAGTAATTTATTTCAGAAATCGTTGGTAATGAAAGTGTATTCGTATTTTTTGTCCGATTTTTATGTGCGAAACTTGGCGAGCCTAACCAGCAGCTGTATTCGAGGACACTAGCGCATCCTACAGTAGCAGCCTCTATCTTTGTCCCCAATTTTGATGGAGAGTTGCCGGGCCCTGGTGCCTACCTCGTAAGTCGGATCTGCCCTCTGGAATGCGAGAGGCAATGGCCATCCGCCCCTTCGCAACGCCAGGAGGAGGAAGGCCGCCGAGAAGACGATCGACCACGCGCATTTCGCGGGGAGGGGGCCTTCGTGCAAGCTTGCGTCACGATGTTCTCAGGCGCCCGCTCTCCATGCGGCATAATTACGTCGGCCTATTTCGGCTGAAGGTCGCTGCGCGGGCCTTGTTCGGCCTGCGAAAGAATGTTCGGAAAAATAGGAACATCTTGCTTAACGGTCGAGAGAACAAGAGGACAACAGGGTAAGTGACGATCTGCTATATCGAACGTCAAGACTATGTGCAAATCAATCAGTACGAGGAATAGGAAGAGGGGAAGATTAAGAATAAGGAGAAAATATAAGAAAAATGCGATGTATTACTGTTCGAAAATGGTGTAGAAGTAGTTTAGATTACATAACGCACTATTTGAACTCGGGTAAGAGTCGGAAAAAGAAAACGAAGGAAGAAGTACATTAGAAAAAATATAGAAAAATCTGTAACTGTATAAAGACTACCAACCTAATACCATATCAGAGTGAGGCGAACATCTAAAGGAAATAAAACCAATTAAAAGACAACAAACTAGGCGGTAGCCTACTCTCCGTATTAAATGAATTTCGGATTGAGTCAATACAACACAAAGTAACGTATATAATATGGTTAAGGGTCGCAATAGAATAGACAAATTATAATTAACCAAAAGCAACACTACGCTCTGTCCTTCTATGTCAAACCAACGAAGGTCAAGTGAAGTCTTGACGAAAAAGGACTACAACACGAGCGTTCTTAACAGGCACCCCCAAAAAACTCCTCATGCACTGATAATAACGTGCGATGATCTCAAAGCCGCATTATGGACAGACATTGCGGTAAGGTGTAAACAGGCACAAGGGTCGTCAGCGTCAGACCTACAATTCGCGCACAGTCGCAAAGACTAAAAGATCTTTGACAAGGCGGATGGGTTTGAAAGGAAACGTCTGAGTGTCTTTGTGAGAAGCGCGAGCAGATTTTCCCCACAGTGAGGCCAACTGCCGAGCAGTTTCGCTCGAGAGGTCTTACTCCTCCGCTCAAACTAGCTGCCGTCGAACAAACTGGGCCGCTAATTGCGAACAAGAAGTCCCATTACCCGGAGACTTAACACAACTTTGAATGCCGGAGGGACTGAATTAACAGAAGCGCAATCGATAATTCAAAAATCGTTGTGGGGGAAGAAATATTCATGACGAATTCAGTGTTTCGAACTGATGATAAGCAAGAACTTCAAATGGCCTTTTACATGAATACAGAATGTTAGAAAGAAAATTAATGCCGGCAACGTGATCACTTCGTGTAAAATTTACGTAATATTATGACTTATGGTAAGAAATGTACATATTCTGTTCTACATGTAATATCATTTTGTTGGGAGTTCCTTTCTCTGATTTTAATACATAATTTGTAAAGTTATATTTGCTCCTTACTAATTCTAAATAAAAAACACATAGGTTAATATTTATCCTTGACATTAAGAACAATCAAAATTTAACTATTAGTGTTGTTTATTTTTCCAAGTCATTTAATTTCCAATTCGGTAATATCTTAAAACTAAATCATTTTTGAACTACGCAAAAAAAATGAATTCCTATATAAACCTGTGAGTAAGAATTTCCTTAATTTAATATATTATTACAATGCACTTTTATAACTGTAGTTGATTAGTTAACTAAAATGCTTCCGCTAATACGAATCACTACACGACCAAGAACTAATTATAAACTCAACATGAATACAATGAGACAGGGAAATTTGCATGTATTTTCTTGCCGTTCACATTTCATTCCAGGTCGAGCAAGAGCCAACACTGTCCGCATAATACAGCCACGAGGAAGCAAAGCCATTTCTCTTTGATGCAGGGGAAATTTCATCGAAGGGCGGAACTGGTGCCGCGTAGGGATTAACTGTGAGGATGGGTATTCGATGAACTGCTAACTCGGGGCCTTGGGCAGTTGGGCTGAGGAGGCCTAGCACGTCCACGCCTGGGGAGGGGGGGCGGTGCGTGGGCAGCTCGAGAGCTGGAAGCTGAGCGGGGTAAGAGAGGGGCGAGGCGGAGGAAGAGAGAGCGGTTGCAAGGCGGGGGAGAGAGGGACGGGAGATGGGGACGTTGCGAAGACGACACGGAAGTAAGGAAAACAGGGCGGGGCAAGAGATGAGAGGAATGCGCGGGGAGTGGACGAATCGGGGCAGGGACGGAGCGGAGTGGAAAGGGACGGGAAGGAGGCAGGGTGGGACAGGGCGGGGGTCGGCGGGGCGGGGGAGAGGGGCCGACGGCGTGAGGCGGGGGAGGAAGAATGAGTGAAGCGGGAACGAGGCGGTGTGAAGGGATGGGACGGAAGAGACGGGGTGGGAGCGTGAGAGGAACGGCGGCGGCGTGGTGGGGGAATGAGGGTGTCGTGACTTGGCGTGGAAGGGTTGGGGATGGGGGCCCGTTGCCGGGGCGGAAGAGAGTGTGGCGGGGTGGAGCGGGGCGGGAGTGAGGGTGGGTGGGTGATTGAACTGAATGATGGGGCGGCGACGTGGGGCGGATCGTAAGCATGGCGACGCCGGGAAGTAGAGGAGGGTGGGGAGCGGAAAGACCAGCGGCGGACGGCGAGGTAGGAAGGTAAAGCGGGAGGGGAATAGCCGGGGAGGGGCGTGGCGGGTTAGACAGGTCGAGCCTTGCTTCTTGCTACTCCGCGGGCGATGCAAGGGTTTTGCCCTGAGCCTCGATACACCGCGCCACCTCCCCAGCGTCCACCCGCGTCCCGCTCCGCCGTTAACACGTGTCCGACCCACGTGGCTGCGCTGCCGGCGGCCGCCGAAGCTCTCCGCAAAACGACGGCGACGCCGGCTCCCGCAGCCAAGAGGCCGGCGCGGCGAGATGGGAGATTTGGAGAAGCGGGCTTGGATCTGGGCAGATGGCCTACAAAAGACGCCGAGTTCAAAAGAAGATGGCATCAGAAGAGGAAGGTTTGGGTTTTAAGAGGAAGGAAATCGTGCGGCGAGATAGCGCGGAAAGTAAAGGAAAAAATTTCATGACTGCTTGGAACTACACGTTTGTGTGATTTTTTTAGGAGTTCTAGATTATATTATACTCCTATTTTGGTAAATATTCGTTTTGGATTCACATGTGAATGTGCGTGCACACAATCTAAAATAACCAAAAATAGATTTTAGAAATTCATTTGTAAAGATAAACATAAAATCGGTAGAGATTTTTTAGTTAACCCTATTGTACGAAATGACGAGGAAATCCTAAAGAAAATAATTTATTAGCACCAAAATTCAGATTACGAGCTCCCCTTTCTGGTATTACGAGTGATTAAAACTGTCATAAAACTTCGACTCTATCAACAGTTGTGCTGTTTTAATTTTTTAAATAAACGAGCATTCCCATTCACCAATCAACCATGCTTGTATGGATTAAAGAGACCAAAAAAGTTCATCTAGATCAGAAACATCCATTGCAGAATTATTACAAAATGTTCCCGACTAATACTTACCTCTGTAGTTCTCGACAAACAATGTTCGGCAGAATTAAACCTTCACTTCATACGCTTATCCGTGTACATCAGTTATTGGAGAAAATTTGAACCATTCGAAATATACATTTTCATTACTTTATGGTTCCACAAAACAGGAGAATTTCTGGGTAAAGACCCATAAACATAATCATGGCGTCAATATTAAAGTTAGAACTACGTCCGTCAGCGATCTTATTCACAATGCGTTCGCAAAAGCATAACACGTTAGTCGTTAACTTAAAAGCTTGCAAGCTTCAAGTTTCCGTGCTTATACTTAAGTAAAACCTAAGAAATAAACTAATTACTGTACGTTAACTCAAAATCGAAAATCGAAGTCGATAGAGGAACTAACACCATATGGGCCGTGGACACAGTCGATACCACGAAATCGGTTCTCACATCCAACCAATAGTAAAGTAGAATGCCTCACAGCCAATAGAAACTCTTATTATGCTTACATTTATGTAAGACATTGTGAATACTTCGCTTATGTTAATGTTTATGTCTATGCGCTATAAGCTTATGTTCACGTTTGCATTGTGAATGGGCCGTAAGGAAGTGATTGCGTTGAAGGCCAAAAGAGGCGAGGGGCCGGGTCGACGTATATCCAGAGCGGAGGTGCTGCCCCGAGCAGGAAGTGCGGACGGCCAGTGGCAGAAACCCCTCTATTTCCCGCTCGTTGCCCGCTCCACGTGCCTGGCTTCCACCCCCCTCCCTCTCGCCACCCCTCACCACTTCATCCATTCCTCGACCCCACCGCCGGCGTGCAGTGCCCGCAGGCCATGCTGCTCTTCTCGACGAAGTTGAGCCAAGTTTCGACCTCGCCTCCGCCCCCGCAGCCACCGCCCCCCGCCCCGCGGCCGCTTCATCGGCACTGCCGCCTCCGGTGCTATCCTTGCAGGGGGGAGGGGGTTCGTGGCGTAACGTCTAGAGCAAACGCCTTTCAACGCTGAAGCCCGAGTTTGACCTCCGGGAAAACCATGTGAAATTTTTGGTGGACAATGCTAGTATTTGGCAGGTTTTTGCGGGTTTTTCCCTGCCCCAACGGCGCAGCTGCCTCCAGTACTGTGTGTGCATGAGGAGAAGGATAATGACATTATGTATAGCTTTATCGTCATTCAACACTGCTGTTTAAGTTGGCTGTAATTCGATATTACTTTTCTGGTGGACAAAGCTAGCTCTCGTCAGGTTTCTTCGGGGTTTCTTCCGGTTACTGACATATCACCATTCTTTCATCATATTCACATCATCATTATCGCTACTATCTGTTCATGTGACTCAGCAGTTAAAGTAAACCTGCGATCTAATAAACAATAACACTACAGGGTTTTCCCCGTCACTGCGCTTTGCAATTGCATGCAATCCACAAATTCCAACAATACCACGACTGTCATGTAAACGCTTCGTCGTCATTAATTCCTGTATCTTCACTTGCCCTCACCCCGCACCGACGACCGCCCTATGCCTACTCCAAAACTGTCATGTACTGAACACTTCCCATGGTTTGCGAGAGATTTTTCCTCTCCCAGCACATATCCCTTTTTATGTACCTCCCCTAGCGGGTCACCACCCTAGCAAGGGCAACCCTCTCTACTGACCTCGCAACATGTGAATTAGTTGTATATAAATAAGGGGTAGGAATAAGACTAGTGAGAAGATAGAAGCGCGGGCCTTGACCCGTTTCTTAGGGTAATGCTCCGGCATTCGCCTGCTATTTTTTAAAAAAACACGGAAAAGTGCCGATCACAGCAGCTTTTCGCTAGTATTCTTCTCCAGACAGACAGCGGCTGAATTCGATCTAGTAACTAACTTGAGGTGTCGAAAGTCCGTCACCGTTCAAACTGTCTAGCACACGCCGCCCACGCAGCCCACATCTGCCCCCTCACATATCCCCTTGCCATTTCCTCCACCGTCTCCATAGACACCACCTTACTCGTTCTTTCCCCGTTGCCTCTGCTACCACTTCCGGACTTGACATATCCGCCGTCCCAGCCTATGACACCAATCTCCAGACCCATTCTTAACCTCCTTGTTCCTGAATTTGCCTCCGTCTCCGGACCTGCTCGTCCCCCGTCGCCTCTGCTTCTGCACTGCCCTGCTTCCTCCGCTCTCACTCCAGCCAAC